CCCCAAAACCCCAAAACCCCAAAACCCCTTAAGTTAATTTCTCAATCAAATTTAGAAAAATCTAGAAATAAATCAATAGTTGTTATTAATGTAATTCAATATTTTATTATATTGAGGAATTACATTCAATTATTATTATTGCTACCATCAATATTGCTTTGAATATTTTACTTGGTCTTAAATCTTTAACGCACATTTTCAACCGCTATTTGAGTTTTTATAGCATTTTAAAAGGTTTTAGGCTTCTATTAATTCCATATTTAGTTAAAGGTACTAAAATTATAGTTATAGTTATTTTCATTTTTTTCTGAAAAATTAGTTTTTTATACGTTTTATTCTTCTATGCTATAACTTAAATCGGTATTGACTTTCTCAAATGGACTTATGAAAGTTCCAAGTAACGTTTAATTCGTAATACTTCCTTCCTTAATTTATTGATTTTACTATTTATCCTAACTCTTACTTTTTTTCTTGCATTTTTTAATGAGCTTCTTAATAGCTTTTCTTATTAAATTATAGATTTTAGCGAGCATTGTTTGAAGTAAGGCAATATAATTTACTATAAGATTTGTAACACTTATCAAAACTATAGCCCAACCAATTTTTTCCTTGTTAGTAGAATTAATCTGTCCTTCGACTATTGGAAGTAATAGAAAAGACACAGTAAATAGACAAATTTCATTAAATATTTCAAATAGGTTAGCTCGAAATTTTTCAAATGGCATCGCAGCTATTATGTATATCAGACAACCCATACTACTTAAAACTTAAATTAAAGCTTGAAAGACTGGGTAATCGACCAGAAATACAATTGAAAATGCCATAATCATCCTTCTTATTAGATAGACAAATGTATTAAAAATCTTCAAAAGCGAGGTAACATCAATGTTTTGATATAGTGAACCAAATTTACCTTTAAATTCTTTCTCTTTTAACTGCTTCTACTTTAATTTCAAGAGCAATATAATCTAAATAGGACTAATCATCAAGAATATTGTAAAAGCGATCGATAATATTGAATCTATAATATCTTTCTACTACCCTGTTATCTATAATGATTTTAAACAAAATAATGGCTACCATTTATATAGAAATAAAACAAGCTATAGAAAATCTTAAATAGCCTTTTAGGATTGGTCTCAACAAAGGAGAGAAAAATATTTTGAATCTTAAGAAATCATAGATTTTCCCACAACTATTCTAAATGAACTCAATTACTTAGTTTAAATATTACATCTGAAATCTATCTCTCGCCCTTTTTAAAATCAAAATGATAATTGATATAAATGCAAACATTATAATCAGTATAAACATTAATCCTAAATTCATCAATAGTCTACCTCCATATCGTAATCAATGAGTTAGGGAATATAAATGTAAACTACATAATTGAAACTTTAAATTTCAAAGATATCCATCATCTGGTATTTATCATTTAATTCAGCTGAGGTATCAGAATATACAGATCCAAGAATCGCTATAATGTATGCTTTAGGTATTGCTTGCAAGTTAGATATATCAATTAGTGCCTAAAATGACATAATTGTTATAGCTGGTAATGGTATCTAAAGCATTGGAATATGCGTTAGTATTTATAAAGTATTAATAAGTCTCCAGAGTTTTTTCATTGAAAATCCGACAAAAAGTTGCAAAAATATGTTCATCCCTAGAGATCCAATTAGTAAATTGCTCATTGTATTTACACTTCCTTGAATTAACTGAGTTTACACTAATTAATAATAATTTCGGAATTAAATAACTTACAATTCTATATAAGTTGAGGAGGGATTTTTTTAATAAGTATCTTATTATCTTAAACTTTCTTTATTTTTTAAAGATTTACGAAAAAATAACTTAGTTTGAAAGTTACTTTTAAAGTGTCTAATACCTAAAATTATTAAGAACATCAATTAATCTTACATTCTAGCTTGAAACTAATTCAGGTTGATCAAAAATTAACTAAATTATTATTTAACTTGATGAAAATGACTAGACACTCCAACTTATTATTTCAGGCATAATCTGATCATTCTATGAATATTGAGAAGAATAGATAATCTGAAATTGCAAAGCATTCTCAGATTTAATCATTGACAAATTTTTCGGTATAAACATTGGTTGATCGAATGAAATAATAACTTCAGCATAGTTTGAAATAGATACAAATGTAGGGTTTAAAAATCCAGTGTAGCTTTTCTTCTTCAAAACTCAAAACAGTAATAATTGTGATTAATAGTTATTTTTATCGTAGCTTTCAATTATTTGATTAATCTACCCGTTATTTTCTGCCTCTTAAATTCCCAATATTTCTTTTTTATCTCTTTCTTATTATTGAATTATCCTCTATTCTTCTACTTGAGTTATGTTGACCTAATCAGTAAATACTGAAACTTTTAAAATATACTGAGTAGACATAGGCTATTTATTATTATCTTTCAACTCTATTATTATTTAATACTCACCTATATCACTCTCAAATGGTTAAAACCAAATCAATTGGAGTTCTTCATAGAATCAAGCGAATCCTAATGCTCTTCCAATATATACAAACATTGCTATTTCATCATTATCTGGATCATATGAGGATGGTATTCTGTATGAAAAGGTTTCATTTACTTTTATTCTGACAAAATTTGTAAAACTTGTGAAATGAGGGGGACCTATATTTACTACTTAACTTGTAGCGATCGGTATAACATCTAAAGTCCAAATCTCTTCAGCACTTGTTTAATAATTTTTGCCAATTCCTTTTGCTATAACTTTAAATTCATAATATCCGGCATCACTGTTAGAGTTAGATTTATATTTGATTTAACCTGTTGCACTATCAATAGTTACAAAATTTGAGAATGATGATTTCCCAATATATTAGATAGAATAGGTTAAAGTACCACAATTTACTACAGAATGAGACCAAGGTGAGTAAATATAAGTAGTCTCATCATCTGCAATCGTGTAAGTTTTATTAGATAGTTAGCTCTTAATTATATTATTATTCTTGCATCTATCAGTAACATTTATGTAGAAGAATGTAACATTAGCAAGGTGCTGATTTGTACTATTTAGCGAAATGTTGTACTTAGATACTGTAGAAACACCCATATTATTTAGCTGCAAATATTTTTAATCTGAAGAAAGGTTAATTATATCGTTATTTGTAGAGTCACTTATCAAGTCTTTTACTAATGTTGAGATTGTGAATGCAGGGCATGATTAATTTAGTTAGTGCCAATTAATAAACTCATATACATTTACTTAAGTAAAGTCTTCTATATCATATTCTTGAATTAACTATGCAGGTTTACTCTAAATAATATTTGACCTCTAACACCAATGTCTAAAAACACATGTTTATGTTACATTTGCCATATTTGTTGGTGTGAGATAACCAATTATGATGAACTCAAATTTAACATCTAGTAATGCACTGTCATTAGTGAAATCATGAGATATTCCGCTGCCTTACAATTAGTGAATCGCATCAAACGAAAATAAATAATCGTTGCTCAGAGTAATATTAGTCATATTTGAAAAGAAAGCATTGTAGGTAAAGACACAGGCAGTATCATTAGAAGTGAAATCATCCATTTTAATATATCTTTTAACTGGATCTCCGAGAATAACTTTATAATTTACAACTGAAGGTGTTTTAATAGTTGCATATTCACAATTGTCCTGTAAATTTCTTTTGTCAAAATAATGTTGGAAAATTTATTCTTGAAATCCATTCCATTTAACTATCTAATTCGATTAAACAAATTGGTCTATATTTTTTTGATTAGTGTTTAAGCCCTAGAGATAATCTATATTACTGTTGACTAAGTATTAATGAGAAGTCTCTTTGAAGTTTGTAATCTCCTTTTCTTAACTATCTTAATCTTAAATATCTTATGAGATTTTCTATTAATTTAGTTCTGATAGGAGCTATTTTTCATTATGATAATTTGATTCCACAATTTATTTATTGGAAGTATTTAAATTGCCAAATATTTGTGAGTCACTTTCTGCAATCATTATTCAAACAAAAGCAAGACTAATCACGAGAATCGATATGAATTTTGAAATGCTCATTACTTTTTTACCTTATTAATTAATTACTATTTTAATCTAAGTACTCTAGTTTTAATTTATAATTTTTGAATTGCTTATAATAGAAAGGCGGGGTTTTGGGGTTTTGGGGTTTTGGGGTTTTGGGG